ACTTATTTGATAAGTTGTTCAATTTAGAATTCAAATTAATTTAAGTTTGACTTAAATTCGAATTTGAATCTGAATTAAAATTGGACTACTGGATAAATGATAAAATCTCTTCCTTCCCTATCTGATATAGGCGCCACACACAGGGATAAAACCCTAGAGGGTGGCCGGCCACTTAAAGGATAAAGGGAAGGGATTTTCTGTTCGAAATTCAAAATTGAAGATAGGGATTTGATCATGTTTTTGAAGTTTGACTTCTACTCTTTAAATATGAGAATGATAGAAAATTGTGGACACAATTTTTGAAGCAATTTTTTCAGTCCTAATTGTTGGTGGCCGAAATTCATAGAGAGAAAAAGAGAGAGAAAATATTTTTCTCTAAAAATTCTACATCGTGCATGCATTGGTGTTTGTGGAAATTTGAGTGTTTAAGAAACCTGTTTTTGTCTCACGTGTGCCCACACACACGTCTACGTAGAATCAAAGAATTGACGTGGAAGACTTTGGTATTCTAAACACAAAGATTTGAGCAAGGACTGTTCGTGGTCAAAGAATTCAAGTTATCATCCGAGTCAGCTTTCAGGTATTTTTCCGGATTGAATTCTTGATGTAAATTAATGCGATTCATTTATTCGTGCATAAATTAATATAATCTATAGAGTATCACAAAAGTTTTATGAAAATTTTTGTTATACACGATCCGCCTCCCCCACGCTTCCGCTCCCGAATTCGATTCGGGAACCAGCCACTGATTGGTAAGTTGCCGAACTTTTGTATAACTTTTTAGGTAGATTTCACGAATGTACCTTCAAGCTTAGTGAAACTTATTACCCAACGTCACCATTAGCGTTAGGAGAACTTTTAAGAATGTCTATTTTATTTAGTGAATTTATGTCACATGAGGTTTTAAGAATTCCTATCGCCTCTATGGAAAAGAAATTTAAGAAATATTGGTCTAAATCATCCATATTGTATGGTTTCGGTGTTATTTTTGACCCTAGATTAAAATTATAAGGTTTAAAAAATGGATTAGATAACTTAAATGAATTTTTAGCTATCGACACTACTGACAAATTTCCTATTATAAAGGAAAAAATATTTTCTCTCTATATCTCTTACGAAAGTATGTTTAGAAACACACCTCATGTTGAACAACCGCAACAACGAGACGACAATCCGCATTCATTCTTGAATGTTTTCAGGTTGTCTAAGAAGAAGAAGAAGATGACGACTCAAGGTCAAGAAGAATCTGAGAGTGGATCTTCATCAAGAGGTGGCGGCAACAGCGGCGGATTCAATGAGTTAATGGTGTACCTGAGTGAGGGCTTAGTTGTGGACAGTAGTGAGATGTTTGATTTGGTTCAGTGGTGGAGGGCACGAGCATTAACTTGGCCGATCCTAACACGAATGGTAATGGATATTTTTTCAATCCCGGTCTCCACTGTTGCAACCGAACAAGCATTCAGTACAACCGGCTGAATACTTGAAGAATAGAGAAACGCATTGCAGCACGATATTGTTGAAGCTTTCGTGTGCATCAAGGATTGAGATCATTCCGACCAACGCTTACACGATACAATCTCACCAGCAAGCCAAGAATGGATCGATGAGTTTAATAGATTAACTTTTAATTTTCAAGACAATCCTTCTGCTTCAAATTAAATTTTATTATTGTAATTTGTAAATATTTATTTACTTTATAATTTCTAATTTGTATAGTGTTATTGTAATCTTGTATATATTTTGTAAGTTCAGTAAATTTGTAATTCGTCCCACAATGATTGCACTCTTTTTTCCTTACCAAGTTTTTATCCTAATTAGGTTTTTCTTGATAAGATTTTTAACGAGACAATCATGAATTACAAATTTAAAAATCAATAAAGAAATATTTTTTTTATATAGTTCGTGTGTTCATTTCAAATTTCAAATTGTAATATATAATATATCTATATATATACACATTATACAATATAAAAATATAATATAAAAAATGTTTGAAAATTCAGGCAGCCGGTCGGGCATTGGGCAGCCCAACCGGGCACGGGCAGTCAACTACTGCCTGAAGCCCGTCCAAGGTGAAATTCGGGTCGGGTCGGGCATCCCGAATTTTCGGACAGTTCAGGTTCAGTAATTGGGCAAAAATTTTGACTTTTCAACGGTCGCAGGTGACCCGTCGAAAGTTTTAGCACTGCTCATGATAACCCTTGTAATCAGGTCACATGAGTTTTAACGTAGATAATTTAATGAAAAGATTTAATTATATTAATTTAATGACGTTAACGATCACTTTATTAAAATTAAAAAAATAAAAATTAAACTGTCACCTACTAAATATGTTAAACATCATCCGTACCAATTACCTTTTTTTATGAGAAAACAAAAACAGGTGAGAAGAACAGCCACCCCGTCCCTTTTCTTCGCTAGCCAGCATCTCCGGCACTATAATTTGAATCTCTTGTCGCTAGACTAGATTCTTGAACCACAAAACCTTCATTTCACCACTCACGTCAATCCTCTATTGGTGACCCGCCTCAAAAAACGATGAGATCCTATGAGATATAGTAGATGAGAGCCCATTTGCTTAGATCAACGGAAAGGAAAAAACGCTGGAGAAGATGATCCGTTATGTCGCTGTGATGTGCTTTGAAGCAAAATTTTTGTTCCCATGATCTAGCCAAATGAGCATTTATCTCTCAGCCACAAAACCTTCTTTTTGTTGATTTCTTTTGGCTGTGGTTGGGCTTCCCTATTTTTCTGGTGTTTGATTTTCGTTCAGCAAGAAATAATCTCTGGTTCTATTAAATGGAGAAAGAAAAGTTGGAAGGTAGAGCCAAAGTCACATTAGAAGAGTGAACTGTTTTAGATTGTCAGTCGGAAGAGAGGAAAATTTTATTAAAAATCAAGGTTAATCTCATAAACAGTTCCTAAAATTTAACCTCAATCCAAACTTTTGTAATATCGCACAGTTAATCTCTGAGATTTTATTATATTTCAGTTTCGATCCTTCTATTAGCCTCAATCCCGACAGACTTTTTAAATATTGCATAGTTAATCTCTTAAATTTTATTTTGTTTCAATTTCAATCTTTCTGTTAATATGCATATTTGACAGAATATGTATAAATTATAGTCTAAAATTGAAAATATTTAAAGTTTAGAGACTAAAACAATAAAAAACTAAAAGTTAATTTTCACATGTAGACCAAAATTTTATCAAAGTTTAACGGCTAATTGATGGACAAATCGAAACTGAAATAAAATAAAACATCAATGATCATTTATGTGACATTTAAAAAGTCAATAACTAAAATAAGATTAATTGAAAACCTGAGAGACTATTTGTAAAATTAACCTTAAAAAACACGATAAAAAGAAAAGTAGGCGGGGTAAGATATTATTTAAAATTGATTTTTAACACAACTATCTTCCGACAATTGTCTTTAACAAATTGCCTCTAAAATTTTTAATTTTGATAATCAATTCTTAAACTTATAAAATTGTTTAATTTACTTATTTATTAAATTTACTTAAATTTTTTATTAGATTTAAAAGATTAAAGGTTAAAGAACTGAAAATCTTGTATTACATTTAAGTTATTATGTTAAAATTTTTTGTTGAATTTATTTTTTTAACACTAATTTAAGTCAAACATATTCAAAATGAAACATATTATAACAATTTATAAATTTCAAACTTAAAATTTCAGAAAAAAAGACAAATTTGCCAAAGTCATACAAGTTCAAAAGCCAAAGGTGTTATATACCAAACCTTTGACAACTGACCTCAAACAAGTGATTAGCTGTACACACTAATGCTTTGAGGTGGGTCGTAAATATGAACGGGACAAATAACAATCGTGACAACTAGCAATCCCTTATAGTAATTCCCCTGAAATGACTACCTCTTCCAATTTAGGTCCTTATCTCTTTGCAGATTTTTCGGTTTCCTACCTTCAGAACGACGCTCAAATATTTATACCTCATTCTTTAGTGATTCAAATTTTCAACTGTAATAAAACTTTTTTTTGTTACGGTTAAAAATTTTCATATAAAATCACATTTCAACCCAAATTTAAAACTAAAATCAACAAATTGTCCGAGTGCATTTGAATTTTATAACTTCTCGGGCATTTCTTTTATCTCGCGAAGATTAAGCATATCTAACATATATTTTTCTTTATTATTTAAAGGGAAATATTAGTATAAGAAAAAAAGACTTCACCAGCCCGTGGAAATAGAGGTAATATCACCAGGTAAAAGTAGTCCCTATTTTATACAGGGTCTTAATGGAGATATCTTTCTTTTCAAGAAAGATAACACTCCTTCCATCCCATGTATCGCTTTTAGTCCTCGAAGCAAATACAGTATCCATTTGTGTAGCCGAAAATAACGACGTGTATTTCTTTTATCTACCGTGAAACGGCATCTAAAATGACGCAATCGCAACATTTTAAGAAGAGAGGAAAAAGAAAAAAAAAATATATATATATATAAAACAAGATAAAACGGACATACATCATAATGCAACTGCCAAATTAGATCAATAGCCTAAACTTTAAATATTGACCCCTAAACATATTCTAAAAAAAAAATAAAAACAAACAAATAAACATTGACCTAAACATTTTTTTTTTTTTTTTTTTAAAAAAGCACAAACCAATCTATAAAGATAAAACAACCAATTTTATTTGAGGACTGCCAAAAATTATGTGAAAAAGCCATTTACCAACAGAAATTGAATCTTGTACACAAAAAGTTGCATGGCAATTTCGATTACTCGATTTCTGAAATGAGAGAAGGGAAATTCATATCTTCCAAGTCTAATAATTGTAAAACAGAGGAGATTATTCATGAACTTCATTATCTCAAAAATCAAAATTCTAGATAATTAAAAATTCCCCACGAAATGCAAATAACAAAAGTGGTTGCCTTCATTTCTCCGAAAGCTTCCACACCCCAATTAGTAAGTTAAATTTCAAATTAAGAATCGATTACAGCACATCTTAAATCGTCCATAGTAAGAAACACCAGAAAACAGATAACATCAAGGAAAACATTTTTACTCACGTAAGATGCCCAAGATGTCCTCATCCCTATACAAGTAATACCTGCATAAAACAACACCAACAAAAAAAAATTAAAAAATAATTAAAAATAATTAAAAAAATAATAAAAATAATAAAAAATAAAAACTTACTCTTTCTCGCCAAGCTTAACTTGAGTACCGCCATACTCGGGCAAAAGAACAGTCTCTCCTTCTTTCAGAGCAACCGGAAGCACATTTCCCGATTTATCCCTGGCTCCGGGTCCCACAGCAACCACCTTTCCGGAGTTGAGCTGATCGATCAAAAATCCGCCGATTCAATCACAGCCGTTAGATCCCGATAACCATAATTGAAGACAAGAGAAATATCAAGGAAGAATTAGAAAGATCGGATTCGGAGAATACCTTGGTGGAGGATTCGGGAAGGAGAATTCCTGCGTTGGTTTTGGAAGGAGGGACGATTTTCTCGATCAGAACGCGGTTGAGAGTCGGAATCAGACGCTTCGACGCCATGGGCTTTGGCTTGCGTTGGGATCGGGTATGATTATAGTTTTTTTTTCCAATGGGTGATAAGAGAATTGGTGAAGAGGAAGATGGAGATCGGTGGTTTTAAAATGGGTGTCTCTCTGGAGGATAGAGATGGAGGTCTGGATGGTTGTGGAAGGTTCTAGGTCTTAGGGTTTTGAGGGTTTTAGGGAATATTTGCTCGTCTGAGAGAGAGAAAAAATGGGGCGGAGATGGATCTGGGCCTGATTGAGTACAAGGCTGGTTTGTTAGAGAGATGGGCCCTTAGATGGTGCCCAGTGCCATTCACAAGGTGAGGGTGAAGTCAAGGTGATTTTTTTTTTTTGTTATTTTATTTTTTGTACCTTGTATTTTATGTATATTCAAAAGTATATCATTAGTTTTTAATCTTTTCAAAAGTATACGTTTCAATGTATAAATCTAATACATATTACATGGTATTATAAAAGAACGTTACGCGAAGCCATTACGCTATATTTTCGATGCCATTACGCTTAAGGTCCACCATGATACCAGACGGTATCCACCGTCATACCTGGTGATGACCAATCGGTAACCAATGGCTAGTAGTCATTATTCAGAAATCATCATTAATATCCAATCATAAGATTGTTGGTACCGTTAGAACAACACATATGTCATGTTTAGTTCGCTGATTTGAGTTTTTAATTTGAGTTAAAATGTGATTTTATGTGTGAATTTTTTACTGTAATAAAAAAATTAGATGTGACTGTTTTTAAAAAAATTTTACTGTAATAAAATTTAAATTTTAAACTCGAATCGATAAAATGAACTGACTAAATTACTCAAAAAATACTCATGACAAAGTTGAACATTGGTTTGAGCTCTTGTCCTTGGAACTTCGATTGTGAAGGTTGGTTTTGCAAGGAGAAACCCACGATGACGTCGCGTGTTGGTTTGGGCTTGGCTTCTTACTGATTTGGTTTTGGTGGCGGGTTTCGCAAGGAGGCACCTATGACAACGTTGTACGTACGTCTGGGGCCCTCCTTCTAGTCCATGCTTTGTGCAAACAGTAACCATGACTATGAGCCAATTTAGTAGTAATTTTGAAGCCTAAAATTAATTTTTTAGTCATTTACGTTTGAAATTTGTATTTAATAAAAATTATAAAAAGTGATTTTTAAAAAAATTTTGAAAAATTCACACTCAAAAACAATTTTAGTCCAATTATCTTAAAGTACGATTAATAAAACTTTCTAATATCCATATTACTCTTGCTAAATCAAAAATCAACTTTAATACGGCTTCGTTCACTTTGTGGATTTGAATTTTCAATTCGAGTTGAGATGTGACATTTTCTTAGAGTTTTTCACTGTAGCAGAAAAAGTTAAATGTGTTATTTTCTGAAAACTTTTTACTGTAAAAATTTAAAATTAAAAACTCAAATCAGTGAAATAAACGATGTCTAATATTCCTAAACTCAAAAACAAATTGTGTTTTTTTTTAAGTTATAATTTATCAAACGTCTATTACACTATTTTTAAAACTAACAATACTTGTATAACTATAGTTATTAAACACTTAATTACTTTTTATAATAATTATATTTTTAACATAATTAATAACAATTTTTTTAAAATTTACAGTACTATTAAACTAACAGCTCGCATAAATTTGAGCTCCAAATGACAACATTTTGGCAGGTGAGTGTATCGAACTTGGCGACAAAGAAACCAGCAAAAGAGGAAAAAAAAGAGAGAGAAGGAGATCTTCCTCACGGCGGCACCATTCTCGCACCGTGGCACTGGTCGGCGGTGGCGACACAAGGTTAAAAGACTCGTTGGCGACTAAAGTGAGAGAGAAGAGAGAAAAAAAATAATGGTTTGAAAGAAAGGGAGGTGAGGGACAAGGACGGAGGGACTACGGGACCAGTGGGGCCTTGGCCCCCCACTGAGAAGCCAAAAAAATATTTTACAGCCTGTAACTTCCCTTCATCAAACCCCGTTGACGATGTGTGTGCCCCACTTAGTGAAATCCAATGAATTTTTTTTTTTTTCTAAAAGTAAATTAATTGGTCTTTTCTACTCTCCTATTTTTAGGCTTTTCAGTTTTTTTATTTGGGCTCTTTGGTGGAAAGATTTGGCTTACTTCCAATACAAAAAATCATTAATAAAATATAAAAAGGAACTTTCTTGATTTTGCGTCCTTTCAAATTCCCTTCCACCTATTTTTACTCTTTTTTTTTTTTTTTTTTCATTTTCTTTACTCCTTCAAGAAACCACGATTCTCTCTCTCCCTTTTCTTCTGTTACGTCGCTCTCTCTTTTTTTTTTTTTATATTATTGGTGCATCTCAAATTCGCAATACTCCCTCCAACTCTAATCTGCTGGTAATTTGATAAGATTTTATTTTACTATCGTCTTTTGATTTTTGTAAGTTTTAGTTCTTTTCACTTTTTTTTTTTTGTTGTTGTTTTGTGTTGACATTGTCTTGTAATTGCAAATTACAATAGATACATATCCCACTTGTTAACTTCTCAAGCTTTTGACTTAGTTTGGTATTATTTTTTTCTTCTAAATTCAACTTCTGCTTGTAACAGAAGTTGATTTTAGTGTTTAGTAGATCTCTTTAAAAGTGTTTTTTAAAGAATTTTTTAAGAATCTATAACTAAAATCAGAAGCAGCCTAAACACAACTTTAACTTTTAGATTGTGCGAAAATCAACATAGTACAATTAATAAAACTTTTATAATACCCATAATACCCCTAATGAAATTTAAAATTTACAATTTTCTCAATCTAAAATTCAGACTTATAATATAATATAATATTGTAACAAATAATATCACAACTATATTAATAACTTTAATATTATTATTTTATTATGATATTATAATAATATTATAATTATTTTAATAATATGATATTATAATTATAATATGATATTGTAATTATTATTTTATAATATATTATATAATTATGATATTATTTGTTACAATATTATATTATATTAAATAAATATATTATAATTAATATATTATATAATTATGATATTATTTGTTACAATATTATATTATATTAAATAAATATATTATAATTAATATATTATATAATTATGATATTATTTGTTACAATATTATATTATATTAAATAAATATATTATAATTAATATATTATATAATTATGATATTATTTGTTACAATATTATATTATATTAAATAAATATATTATAATTAATATATTATATAATTATGATATTATTTGTTACAATATTATATTATATTAAATAAATATATTATAATTAATATATTATATAATTATGATATTATTTGTTACAATATTATATTATATTAAATAAATATATTATAATTAATATATTATATAATTATGATATTATTTGTTACAATATTATATTATATTAAATAAATATATTATAATTAATATATTATATAATAATAGTTTTTTTGTATTATATTAAATATAATAATAAATATCTAATATATTGTAATTTTATATATTATATTATAGTATAATATAATATAGTCGTAATTTTTTATTATCCACAGCAATTTAACCTTATAATTTACCAAATGTTATTACACTAATTTTGGAACCAGCACAGCTATTATAATTATAGTTTACCAAACACTCAGCTGCTTTTTATAACAACTGCTTCTTTATGCAGCATAGCTAAAAGTAATTTTTTCAAAATCTACAGCACTACCAAACTAAGCCTTCGTTCCTTTTTAGTGTTGCTTTGGCTTTTTCTATCAAGCTCAGTTATTATCAAAAAAAGAAAAAAAAAGAGGAAAAAGAAAGCTTCTCAAGCTTTAAGGTATGTAAATTCAAAAAATCTATTAATTTTTTATTTTATATTTTTGTGATATTGCTTGGTATCATGGAATGTACATAATATTTTCTTTTACCATAATATGCATAAATAGTATAATTGGTTGTTAAATTGTAATTTTTTTAATTGTATGTTGTACAGTTATGTTAAAATATTTTAAAAGAACATTGGAGTTGTCGTTCTCTACAGGAAAAAATGACAATAATGTAAAATTAAGTAGAAAGGAATTTTACAGTTCTAAGCTTTTGATAAATCCTGGGCTAAGAATTCCGATTTTGGATTACAATGTAAATATTCGGGATGATGTTTGAAGAGCATACTTGTTAAATCGGCTCTGTCAGCCTAAAGATCATAAATTTTCCTATACACAATGTGGGGAAACACCAAAACGTTTTATCCGTGATTGGTTAGATTATAGCATAACAAAAGATGTTGCGTGTCTTTATTGTTATCTCTTTAAACCAAATAATGGAGAACAAGCAGGTGATGACTGTTTTGTTGGTGAAGGGTTCAAAATTTGGAAAAAAAAAAAAAAAAAAAAGACTACATACACACGTTAGGGGCCCTAATGGTGCTCACAACCAAGCTAGGGCTAAGTTTGAAGCTCTTTTGAATCAAAAGCAACATATCCAATCTGCTTTAGGCAAGCAAACAAATCAAGCTCGAAGCGGCTATTGACTGCGCCTCAATGCATCAATTGACTGTGTACGATTTCTTTTGCGACAAGGGCTTGCATTTCATGGTGATGTCGAATCAAAGTATTCAAGAAATCAAGGTAATTTTTGCGCGCTTCTGAAGTTTCTAGCTAATCATAATGATGCTATAAAATCTGTAACATTGGAGAATGCTCCTGAAAATCTCAAATTAGTATCACCTATGACTCAGAAGGATATTGTAAATGTTGTTGCTATTAAAACTGTTAGGGGGCGTTTGGTATGCAGGAATCAGTAGGAATCATATTCCCAGGAAAGTGATTGAGGGTAATATGATTTCTAAGAATAATATATTACTGTGTTTGGTTGTTCACATGGAAGAAGATCAATAATAATAATAATAATATTATTATTATTATTATTAAAAATAAAATAATTGAACAACCAAACACAGTAATATATTATTCTTAGAAATCATATTACCCTCAATCACTTTCCTGGGAATATGATTCCTACTGATTCCTGCATACCAAACGCCCCCTAACTAACAATAATAATAACAATAATAATAACAATAATAATAACAATAATAATAATAATAATAATAATAATAATAATAATAATAATAATAATAATATTTTGAGATTCCTGGGAATTTGAATAACACCATGTTGGGTGGTATTCAAATTACCTT